TTTTTTTTTTTTTTTTTTTTTTTTTTTGAGACAGTCTCCCTCTGTTGTCTGGGCTGGAGTACCTGGTGCAGTCACAGCTTACTGCAGCCCCAACCTTCCCAGGCTCAGGTGATCCTCCCACTTCAACCTTCCAAGTAGCTGGGACCACAGGCATGTGCCACCAGGCCTGGGTAATTTTTCTTATTTGTAGAGACAGTCTGCCTATGATGCTAAGGCTGGTCTTGAACTCTTGGGCTCAAACAATCCTCCCACCTGAACTGCTGGGCTCAAAAAATCTTCCTACCTTCCAGAGTACTTGGATTACCGGCATAAGCCACCATACCTAGCCTAAAAATTCTTATATTAGCTTTGCCACTAAGCTGTCTCTTTAGTACAAGCAGTTATTTAAGCTCTTTTAGAGCTAGGGTCAGCAATTTATGGCCTACTGCCTGTTCAGTAAAGTTTTATTGGAACATGGCAGTGCTTATGCATTTACATATTGTCTATGGCTCCTTTTGAAATACAATGGCATAATTGCCTCAGAGACTGTATAACCCACAAAGACTGAAATTGTTGCTATCTGACTCTTTATAGATTACACATGAATTAGATGAAAAAATAATGATTTTAAATTATTACCTTTAAAATGTAGATATATAGAAGCAGAGATATAAAAAAGTAAATATTTTCTTATATTTTAATTTCATTTCTTTTATTGCATTAATACAGTTTATTAAATGAATCGATTAAGTTAATAAGAAAAAATGGAGGAAATTTCTCAATGGAAATTAAGAAAAACATATCCATTTTTCTGTAGATCTCAAACAACTAGCAAATCTCTTTTGTGAAAACCTGAGGTAGTGGCTATTGCTAAAAATGATGCTCCATTGTCCACACTCCCCTTCTCCCTGTTGGATTCTGTTTGCATTTTCCTTACCTGGTACCAAGAGTAAGCTCGGTCTGAAGGGTCAATGAGAATGGTGATGATCTTGGCTTTGGGAACCAGAGAAGCAGCTCTTTTAGGGGCTTCCTCTGAGTGGAAGTAATTGGCACTCTTCTCAAACAAAAAGTCAGTGGTGACATTAGATGGGACTGGGAAGAAATCCATATACCTAGAAAAGGAATATTTTTCTCAAAATAAGACTCTGGTTTATACTCATATTCTGGTGACCAAAGATGTTAAAAGTGTCCCACAAATTCATCTGTTTCCTAAATAAAAGCCTTTTTCTTTACAGCATTTGTCCTCTATAGTTAGCAAGAGAAAACTACCCAGAACACTAATAATGTGTTTGGAAGATGTTTTTTGAGGTACATTTTCTTTGTATTTTGCTTAATATCAGGAAAAAATAGATAACAAAAATGTAGAAACATAGTGATCAAACTGCAGCAGTAATTAGCCTAACTATATCAAATGTGTCTGAAGGTAGAAACACTGTACAGAGAAAAATTCAAGCACTCAAACAAAAAAATTTTTATTAAAACAGATGATATGTTCAGTTCAGGCATTTTAAAAGGATTTAGAGGAGATATTTTTTACTTTATTGCAAGTGAAATAATTTCTTTTCCATGTATTGTGCCAGTGTTATATTTAATCACATAGTGTCAAAGGTGCAGAGCATATCTGGTATAAATACTGCTTTTTTGCTTAATTTTTATCATATAGAGCCACTTATGTTCTCCTTTAGAATAATTATGGGAGAAATTTAAAAAGTATGTACATTCCAAATATAAAATCTTAACAAATTTCCCAAGGTCATGTTCTATATCCTTATAGGTAGAGATAATTCAAATTACCAGCAGAATCAACACAGGGATATCTGTAGGGTCAAGCACTGAAATTTAGGATTTTGTTTAATGTTCCACCTGAATAAAAGTTGTCAAATATAACTAATTCTGCATAGGACAAGAAATATTTCTGAAGCACTAAGGAACATCTTTTAGAGGAAAAGGGCTTTTTTTTTTAGAGAGACTGTAAAAATATAGCTTCTAGGGATTCTTAAATTTTATGACAATGGCCTCAGCCTCCACTGCCACCCCCTTCCAATCATAAACCATTATGACACTGGGCTACCAAGACAAGGTAGTTCAATAATTACTGAACAAAAAGTCATTAACATTCATGCAATGACCTGTTTTATTTTTTTACAGTGTCTTGTTTTCTTTTGACCAAAAGATCACATGAGATTTTCATAAATTTTTGAATGTGAGATCATATCCTAAAACATGATAAAGCTTCTGGTAGGATTCCAGTTGTTAACACATTGCAAAGTTTAGCTGGTGCAACACAGTGGTATCTTGAGATTCAGAGCAGTAAAATCCTTTTATGTTGTCTGGAATTGGCTTGTTGGTGATACATAATTCTGGCACCCCTTTACGGAGAAAGAGATACACAAAAATTTCTGGAAGATTTGATGTGCTATTTGTTCTGGTGTATATTCTATTTACAGAAAGTGCCAAATTTCAGGATGCTCCTTATGTAGAAGCTCACACTGGTTTCAGAAGTGCTAAGATTATTTAAAGTGTCTAGTGGTATCTTATTTGGTCCAAGCTTGTCTCAAGCTTGCTTGTTCCGAGAAAAGGCTTCATAAAATCACAAAAAAGAGCAGAAATTTTAGCTTCTTAAACCTGTCCCACCTTCCTGGAAGACTTTTAATTTGGAACAGTTTAGTCTTTGAAAACATCCTCAAGCAGGTCTATATCTTGGACCTATAATGTGTTGATTTTGCCAGGCCCCAGGGGCTGATGGAGAGGGCAGGGTGCAACTCGTTTGCCTATATGTCTGGATTTTTCTTTACTTTTTTTTTGGAGACAGAGTCTCACTCTGTCTCCCAGGCTGTAGTGCAGTGGCCAGATCTTGGCTCACTGCAACTTCTGCCTCCCGGGTACAAGTGATTCTCCTGCCTCAGCCTCCTGAGTAGCTGGGATTACAGGTGTGCGCCACCACGCCCAGCTAATATTTGTATTTTTAGTAGAGACAGGGTTTCACCATGTTGGTTAGGCTGGTCTCAAACTCCTGACCTTGTGATCTGCCTGCCTTGTCCTCTCAAAGTGCTGGGATTACAGGCGTGAGCCACTGTGCCTGGTGCTGCATTTTTCTAGTGTAGTTGCTAGCACTTACAGGCACTTGAAAGATGTTTGATGAATAGAGAAGTAAATAAAAGGTTCATATTTTTAGTATGGGACCTGGAAGCTCTGCAAAAGGCTCACATTTAGAGAATGTAAATTGAAGTTATTAAAAAAATTAGTGAGCAAACCGGAGTGTTTTAACAAATTGGGGGTTAAAAGTAAATGCCTGTCTCCCTTAAGTTTTTCTACTTCTATAAAACATAAAACTTCAGCATTTTCTTTTACCTGAAAAATGGAATTTTTTGCAATACCCCACATTTATTTGTTATTTGGGTTGACACTGAGTCTTTCTTTCCTTTTTTTTTTTTTTTTTTTTTTTTTGGGAGATGGAGTCTCATTCTGTCACCCAGGCTGGAGTGCAGTGGTGTGATCTCAGCTCACTGCAAATTCCACCTCCCAGGTTCAAGCAATTCTCCTGCCTCAGCCTCCCAAGTAGCTGGGATTACAGGCACCTGCCACCACACCCAGCTAATTTTTGTATTTTTACTAGAGATGGGGTTTCACCATGCTGGCTAGGCTGGTCTTGAACTCCTGATCTCAGGTGATACACCAGCTTCAGTCTCCCAAAGTTCTGGGATTACAGGCACGGGATTTTCCTTAAAGCCAGATTACAATGTTTAGAAGTTCTAAATGCTGATAGGATTTCATGGCTTTCTACATACTACTTCAGGCCTCCAGTAAGTTCCTATGTAACTAAAAATAATAAGACCAAATCATGAAACATCAAATTTACATGTATGCATAAGTCAAACATTTTTCTTAAATTGTGTGACTGCAAATGTTGACTGTCAAAGATAAAGTTTTTAAATTTTCATATGCTCTACTTTACTTGTGCCCTAAGCTTGTGCTTAGGCTGCTGGTTTTATCCAGTTCTCCAAAAAAGCAGATCTACACATTCAGATTAACTAACTGTCTCTGGGTTAATTCTTTAGGTGACCCTGGCACTCTGAGACCACATAATCTTCATAATCTTCAACTTGTGACATCACAGTCCCAACAGGACTGCTAAGGTGCTGATGCCTCATAGAGAGGCAAAGCCATTCTGAGGGTTTGAAAACATTTGATGTCATCAAGAATAAAGCTGTAGTTATTGCTACAGATTGACATTTGCAATTACTGTTTTTTGTTAATTGCATCAATTGCCTTTTGTAAACATAATTTGTCAATCAAAAGTATATGTATTTGGTGGTTTTAATGAGTTATATTTAGAATATTTCATTGCTTTTTAGCTTTTTACTTATTTATGTCATCTCCTTGTAAACTGCTTAAGGGACCTTTTAGTTTTTTTTGGAGACACAGTCTTGCTCTGTTACCCTGGCTGGAGTGCAGTGGCATGATGTTGGCTCACTGCAATCTCCACCTCCCAGGTTCAAGTGATTCTCCTGCCTCAGACTCATGAGTATCTGGGAGTACAGGCATGTGCCACCATGCCCAGCTAATTTTTGTATTTTTAGTAGAGACAGGGTTTCACCATGTTGGCCAGGCTGGTTTCGAACTCCTGACCTTAGGTGATCTGCCCGCCTCAGCCTCCCAAAGTGCTGGGATTACAGGCATGAGCCACCATGCCTGGCAGGATTTTTGTTCTTATTAGAGTACCCATCCACATGATGATCAAAACATATTTATAAAACATTTATGGTAAAAAATTAATAACTTGTAAAAATCTTTTACCATGAATTTTTCAAAAATGTTTTTTGATAAAAAGTCCTAGACAATCCAAGTATTGACAGGAATGTAATGCTAATACATTCCTGTCCACCTCCAAAGCAGTTTTTATTCAGTCCTTTTAGTCCTGATGTTAACATCATTTTATTCTGTAATTATATACTGGCATACATATTTGAATCAGTGGCCAAATACAGCTGAACTACTGATGGTTTCTCTTCTTTTTCTTTTTTTGAGACAGTGACTCACTCTGTTGCTCAGGTTGGAGTGCAGTGCTGTAGTCACAGCTCACTGCAGGCTCAACCTCCCTGGGCTCAGGTAATCCTCCCGTCTCAGCCTCTCAAGTTAGCTGAGACCACAGGTGCACACCATCATGCCTGTCTAATTTTTGTATTTTTGGTAGAGATGGGTTCTTGCTATGTTGCCCAGGCTGGTCTCTAACTCCTGACTTCAAGTGATCCACCCACTTTAGCCTCCCAAAATGCTGGGATTACAGATGTGAGCCACTGTGCCTGGCCATTGTTGATGGTTTCTTGATTTCTCAGCTGTTATTTAATACAACACAATATCATACCCTGAACTGAAAAGTTGGTAGTGAAATATATAACAATTAGAATATATGTAAATCCTAGTAGGTGCTCAAATTATGCTCAATCCATTTCTTTTTCTTTTCATTTGGACTGTTCACAAGCAGCTCTTCAGGGGTTGATAATTTTAAAATTGAGATCATGCAATTTGACAACAGAGGTTACTATATATGACTATGCTAAAATACATGCAAAATATATTTATGCTGTAGAATTATTATAATTCACTCCTTTATACCACTCTCTGTCCAGCGTATCTTCATAGCAAGACCTTTAGATACACTTTATGATGAACACGTTAGTTTGTACCATCTAGCTCTACTACGTGACTGTATTTTGTGTATTCTGTTATTTTTACTTTTTAAGTGTTTTCTTCAGATGGTTGACATATTTCTAATTTCATTCAAAGGCAAAAATTAATTCTTGTGTATTATTGATAGGTTTTTTTATGGCTTTGATTATTCATGTAATATATAAACATTTCTAGTTTTATTTATTTTTATTTATGTGCTAAAGAAGATAGAAAATTACATATATTGGCTATAGCGTCACTTAATATTACATATATTGGCTATAGCGTCACTTAAAAGTGCACAAGAAGAAAAATATATGAAAATTTTTTTTCCTTACGAGTAGAGAGGAATGAAATTTCTGAATATTATGCTATTATTCTGACTTAATATCTGTAGTTACCATCAAATAAAATTAATACCAATTGAAATTATATATGATCCTCTTGGGGAAACAAATCCCTTTATAAACTTAGGAGAGTTTGTTCTGAAAAATTTCTGAGCTCCTTTATGATATTCAATCAATTTCCAAGGCGCAGAGGTTAACTTTTATTTGTGACTACAAACTTACATGTTTCTAAATATTAGTGCTAAGTTTATACTGTACACAGTACATATACTTTTAGATTTATACTAATAACCCATCTTACCAATCAATCCCCCTGTGGTAGTTATTTCTATTAAAGAACTGTACCTCCTCAAAGGTTTTTGGGCTGGGGGAGTTACTAAGGATGGAAGGATGCATAACCAGGAACAAATACAAAGCAGTGGTACCTGGAAAGACAATAGAGGTTTAGAAATTAATTAAATGAAAACACAATTTCCTATGACTAGCATTTTAAAGTCGTTAATAAATATTACAATGACCCAAACAGATTTGTTATAACTATTCCTTGAAATAAATTGAATAGATAATCAGCAGTTTAATAGAAGCAGGTTCTAAAAAAATGGAGATTTTTTTAGAGATTGAGATTTTTCTCAATTTCTTTGAGAAAAGAGGCCTGTTGCAGAGATTGAGAGAACTGGCTTTCGATCTCAGCTCAATGACTGATTTGTCTGTGTCTTTGTCTTTTAGCGTCTGTTTGTCTCAGCTTTCTTTTTCTTTTCTTTTTTGTTTTTTTTTTGAGACAGTGTCTCACTATGTTGCCCAGGCTGGAGTGTGGTGGTGGAATCATAGCTCACTACAACCTCAACACCAGGCTCATGGGATCCTCCTTTTTCAGCCTCTCAAACAGCTGGGACTATAGGCATGTACCACTGAGCCTGGCTGAGTTTGTAAAGTTTTTTTTATTTTTAGTAGAGATGAAGTCTCGCTATGTTGCTCAAGCTAGTCTTGAATGCTTGAGCTAGTGCAATCCTCCCACCTCGGGCTCCCAAAGTGCTGAGAATACAGGAGTGAGCCACGCACCTGGCCTGTCTCAGCTTTCTTAATGGAAAATCACCTGCCTTGCTTATTTCATAGATTTTCTTTGAGAATGAAAGGACATGTACCTGAAGACATTTTGACAGTAATAAGGCACTATATAAAGGCAATATATTATTATTTAATATATTACATTACCAAAATCAATACTTGGGTTCTCATATTAAGTTCTTCCTGAGGCCTATGAAAGCTACTAAAACTTAAGACAGAATTTAATCTTTCAACAAATTTGCGTAAGCTTGAATGTACTTATATTTTTATAAAAGTAGTGTCAAAAATTGTTTAAATTGCTAAATTTGAAAAAAATTGTGCCCTTTCTTAGTGACATAACATAAAATTTGCATTCAATAGGGAAGAGAATTACATATCACAGGTACTCATATATATTTGTGACTATTGGGGAGCAAGGGTATGATTTTTCAAAAAGTGAGCAATGTCATAAACTGTACGATTAGTGTTTTATAAGCCTAAATGAGGAGATAAAGTGTGTAGCTTGGTCAGATTGGTACAAGAGAAAGTAAGGCAGTTTGGGTTCGGTTTGTCAAAATTTAACCATGTATGTAATACTCGTAACTGACTGTGTTTTTAAGATCATAAAAGCATTCATAGGTATTGGCTACTCCGAAGAGAGAAATATACTCTTATTTACACTATTACACAATCTGTGGAGCAGCACTTGTTAATTATATTCCAAGGCAATAGCTAGCAATAGTAATAAGACATGGCCTTATTTCTCTCACTTGGAGAAATTGCTACTCTAATTTTGCTTAGTAATTACGTCATGTTCCCATTTGTACAAAATTTTGAATTTTCTTTCAATAAGTTTTCTTTAGTATTTATTTACTTAAATGGCATTAATATATTATTAATAATACTAATTAAATAATGGTATAAATAGTATTAATATGATAGTATAGTATTTATTTAAATATCATCAATATGCTAGTATTTACTTAAATAGTTTTTTTTTTTTTTTTTTTTTTTTTTGAGATGGAGTCTTGCTCTGTTACCCATGCTGGGGTGCAATGGTGTGATCTCAGCTCACCACAACCTTCTCCTTCTGGGCTCAAGTGATTCTCGTGCCTCAGCCTCATTACAGGCGCCTGCCAGCATGCCCAGCTAATTTTTATATTTTTAGTAGAGACAGCATTTCACCATGTTGGTCAGGCTGGTCTCAAACTCCTGATCTCAGGTGATCCACCTGCCTTGGCCTCCTAAAGTGATGGGATTACAGGCATGAGCCACTGTGCCCAGCCCTTAAATAGTATTAATATGGTAGTAAAGTAGTATTTTAGTGTTGATTTGCTTAAATAGTACAAATATGGTAATATTTAAGTAAATACATACTATTTAAATATTTATAAGTTAAGCTTTCTTTAGTATTTATTTACTAAAATCTACCATATCTATACAATAGAAAAATAGTTAAAATAATTCTGTCAATGGCAATATTGTCTTAAAAAATAAATTGAAAGAGGCAGTCTTCCTATATTACATCTGAGCCAAACAATGAACACTTTGTCTATAATCATACATCATTATAGGGAATAAAACATAGTAATCTATAATATACAGAGTAAAAATGTTCTTCACAAGCATGCCTTAAAATAGTGGTCCTCCAACTAACATGCATCAGATTCATATGGGGGGCTTGTTAAAACACAGATAGCTCAGCTCTTCCCCAGTATCTCTGATTCAGCAAGTCTTTGTTATAACCCAAGGATTTACACTTATCTGATTAAGTTCTCTGGTGATGCTTATGCTGCTGGTCTGGCAACCACCCTTGAGAATCACTGACTTTGAATAACTGTGAAGCAATATCTAAAATTTATTGGAGGAAAAGATGCTCCATTACATGAAATCCATGGTAATATAGAAAGAGCATGTTCTTTGAAGTTAGGTAAATTCTAGGATCAGGATTTTTATTTCTTGTACTTACCAGCTGTGTGAATTTGAACAAAAAATATTTAACTTCTCATGAGTTTTAGTTTTTCCATCTGTGTAGTGGGGAAGAAAATGCTTAGCTATCAGGGTTTATGAGGATCAATGAGGTAACCTATGTGAAAGCACCTAAAGAGTGCCATAAAGGGTATTTTTCCAGATAAAAACTTTATTGAGATGTAACTTAGCATTATAATAAATATATTAAATACAATTTAATCTCAGGTACTTGAGATTTAATAGTTTATATGCATGAGGCATTTTTAAAATTAAAAATAATCTTTTTGGAAATAAGTATTGCCATTATAATGTGAGAATGAAAAACAGATTAATTTCTTTCTTAGATCAACTGAAAACATTCTTTTCTGGATCTTATTTTTAAAAATTGTATTAAATATATTTAGTTCACTTTTAGTAGCCTTTCATGACCAGCATTAATTAGACAAACAGGAAAAATGAATGTAATCTAATTATTTTACATAGTCAATAAAAGGTATAATGCAATTTATCAGTGTTAAAAAAATTTTAAGTTCTGGTTTATGAATTCTGTCTTTACCTATATGTATTACTGGGTCTAAATAAACTGTCCTGCATATATACGTTATCAGTGGTAACTCAACTACATAATCATAGATACATTCTTAAATAACCACCTATAAATCTTCAGTTTTATATTTTTGTCAGCTTCCACACTGAAAAATATTTGAATATGCAGATAACTAGAAATCTGTGCAAAATTATCCAGAAAAAAGATATATAGTTTTTGAGATGGAGTTTTACTCTGTTGTCCAGAGTTTTACTCTGTTGGAGTGCAGTGGTGTGATCTTGGCTCACTGCAACCTCTGCCTCCCAAGTTCCAGCGATTCTCCTGCCTCAGCCTCCCGAGTACCTGGGACTACAGGCTCATGTCACCATGCCTGGCTAATTTTTGTATTTTTAGTAGTGACGGGGTTTCACATATTGGTCAGGCTGGTCTTGAACTCCTCACCTCAGGTGATCTACCTGCCTCGACCACCCAAAGTGCTGGGATTACAGGCATGAGCCACCAGGCCTGGCCCAAAAAAATACTTTTCACAAAATTACAGTTAAGAATGAAGTTATTTAATTTTCATGTGACTGATACAAGAAAATAATTAAAAAATCAGTTTCATAAAATATGGCTATCTACAGCAACATGAATCTCAAAAGTATGCTAAATGAAAGAAATCACATGCAAAAGACACACTACATGCTTCCATTTACATGAAGTTCTAGAAAAGGCAAAACTGTAGTGGTAGAAAGTAGTTGCTTGTGGCTGGGGATGTGGTGGATGGAGGGGATAGACTGCAAAGGGACATGGAGAGATTTTCTTAGGCTAACAACTGTATCTCGAATGTGGTAGACACAACTGTGCACAATGTTCAGACTTCAGCTAATTGTACATTTAAAATGGGTGGATTTTATTGCATGTAAATTATATGTCAACAAAACTGGGAAAAAATCAATTTCTATAAAGAATCAAGTTCTATAAAAAGTCTTTTCCAATGACAAATGTCATATCCAAATTGTAGCAAATATTTGGAAATCCAATTGAGTTTAAGAGGACAAGTAATAATTCTACCATCTAACCATGATATCAAAATGTCTGCATATCCAGCACAACACAAGAGGAAGTGAATCCTGTAGCACTTTCAAAGCAAAATGCTTTAGAAAGCCTTCAGGATGTGATCAGTCTTGACAAGGTTATATGATGACAGAGGGAGTTCACCGAAGAGATTTTAGTTTAAATGTTGTCCTAGTTGCCTTTTGACTTTAGATAGATAAGGACAAGTGAAGTAGGACAAGAAAAGTATAAATATTTGTAATATTTATTGTTTTCAGATTGATATCTGCAAATGACATTAAGAAAAAAATGAATACGCTAAACTCCCTGTGTACATTGCACAGAACTTTCCTCAGTTATTTCTAGATCATTGAGGAGAGGGAATGTATTTCCCTTAGCAAAAATAAGATTGTAAAGGCTGTATTCTGTGAAGCCAGAAACCAAGGGCCCCAAATAATTTATCATGCAGGATACAGATGAATGTCTGGTAGTTTAAAGCTTCCATGGGGCTTCATTTTAATACTGATTCTTAGAAACAAGAAGTTTATCGGGGAAAAATTGCACACCAATTTAAGAAAAGGGAAAAAAGATTTCTCCTGGGTATGAATAAACACCTTTCTTAGCACAAAGTTTTGTGTATGTCTAGGAATTCTGCTTGTCAAACATCTTTTAGACTTTTAGAAAATAGTCATCTCTGTAAGAAATAGTTTACAAATAAACAATGTTAGGAAAATGGCAGCCTAAGGGACTATTTTTCTAGAAGGGATTTATTATAAAAAGTTATAGATACTTGTATGTGTCCCTCTTGACTTTTGATACAATCCTGTCAGTGATTAGCTTTGATTTTAGAAATGCTAAGTACAATGCTTTTCAATTGAAGTATCTGGGAAAAAATTACCTGTGCCACCAAATTGACTGGTGGACATCTGAATGCTGTGACATCTGCTTTATTCTTTTCACTTAAAAACACTTTGATAAGCATTTAGGTACATTACTCAGCTGAATGAAAATTATGTCGGAGAAAAACATGTTCGTTCATTAGCAGTTATGGGAAGTTTATGAACTTATTGTGACAAGAACTCATTGTCTAGTCATCAGGAATTTTACACTGGTTAATCACAACATAAAAAGTTCTCACCAGTTTTCTGGGGTCCTATTACCAAGAATTTAGGTAAGCGATCACAAGTTTTTTCTTTAGACCAAATGTCTCTGTGGCGTTTGTCATCGCAAGGATTCTAAACGGGAGAAGAACATAGAGATACTTTTTTTCAAGATTGTGTCCATTGTGGGCCAGCTTTTCTAATGTGTGTTCTTTAAAGGTATACCAGGAAGCACTGGGATAAAAAAATAAGGCTGTTTTAAAAGACGAAAGCACTGAAGTAGCATCATGGAAGTTCTGAACAACTCCTTTCCATCTTGAGGTTGAGAGTCTACAGAGGGAGGTTGGAGAGAGGAAGTATTTCCGCTTTGGGTCAACAGTCTCATAGCACAAAGAGTTTAATCAGCTACTAGCAGCTTCTCTCTCTCTCTCTTTATATATATATAATAGTTATTTTATATATATATATATAATAGCTTATATATATTTTATATATATATATATATGTATATATATATATATATATATATATATGTATATATATATATAAAATGGTTAGCTTACTGGGTGGAGACTATGCTTCCTGCTAACCTAAAAGATGATACATTCTCAGTATTCAATATATAACTGAAGTATAAGATGTCAGATTTTTATTCTAAGTAACTTTGAGCTTTCCAGCTGTGCTTCAAAGGGATAGGGATCTTGCCAAAATAATACTAAAGAGACGGCAGATACTTTGCAGCTGCCTTCAAAGGTTGATAAATGTTTATCTAAAAATGTAATTATGATGGTAGAAAGTCCTAAATTTTAGCAAAAAGGGCATAATGAGGGCAATTTGCTACCTTAGGGATTCTGCTTTTGGCCTATAATATTTCACACCAACACCCACCGTGCAAGTCCTATTTAGAACACCCTTCATTTTTAGAGCAGAGTATAAATTATGTAGAAAAGGAGGAAGAATTACAGTACCCTTTAATATTCCAGGAATGGGCAAACAGTACCACTTTTTATTTCTAGTCAATTAATACCATAGATACATGAAGTTAAATAAGCCTTCTGCTTATTTTTAATAACTAACAGATGTTAAGACTAAAGTGAGATTATTCTTTTTGGCTGTTCTTCTGAAAAAAAAAAAAAAAACAGTTTAAAACTTATTGCCTGAAATAATAAAGATTTCAGTTTAAAAATGAGGTTAAATTAGCAGGAAAATTGCATGCCTTTCCATTGGCTAACATTTGGTGACATTTTGTGGTGGTTAAAACGAAAAAATGCTTGTTAAAACAACCAAAAAGTAATATGCAGTCATAAGTCCACACCAACAACTTTAACCTGCTATATGGGCAGTTATGTCTCTTCTTGGAGTTATCTGTTTGTGCGCAGGAGGCTATTAACTTAGGGTTGAAAGCTGAATGCTTTGAATATAAAGTTCAGAGTTAAAAACTTCAATCTGAATGCATTGAATATAAAGTTCAGAGTTAACAACTTCAGTTTGTGGAATTTACTGAGTTCTGCTTCTGAAGATCGTTATTGTTTTACCATCAGCTCTGTCTGTTCTCTAGTAGTGTTTAGAGCAGTGATTAAGAAGTACAACATTTGGAGCCAGATGGTCTATAACTGATTCCTGCTTCACCACACACTAGCCATGTGACCTTGCTTAATTGACTCAGCCTTTCTGTGCTTCAGTTTCTTTATCTGTAAATGCAAATCATAACTGTACCTACCACTTAAGGTAGTTGTGAGGATTAAATGAGTTAACACATGTAAAGTGCCCAGTTGGACATACAGTAAGCAATAGGTAATTATTTCCCAAAATTATTATTTTTCACAGATCATAGAGTGGACAATTTAAATTCAAAGTTGTTCCTGCAATTCTATGATACATAAGACTCTATGCTTTCATATCTAGGTTACCTTCGGAACCATTTGAATATGCCATATAAATGTGGTATTTTATCTTAAGCTCAGTGATTTTCCCATGAAATGCTTTCCCCCATATTAATCCCCAATTAATACTCTTGAAAGCTGTTCACATTCTGTGGCTGTTGGCTGTTGGTGTACGACATGGTTAAGAAGGCAGATGTCAGTTCTGAACTCTTCTCGGAGATCCTCTATGGTTTAGTCATTGGAGATATGGGGATGTGTTCAAAGGCTACCTGCCTAACAATCTGTTTATCATCTTCTACTCTTGCAGCCTATTGCAATCTGTAGATTTATCTCTCACTCCTGATTGAAAACATCACATCCAGTGAATCCGTCACTGAGCTTTCTGAATCCCATAATTCTGAATGTGCAAGAGAACAGGGAATTGGGTGCAATATGTAGTCACCATGATAGAAGATGACAGTTTAGGAAGGAGTAGTTTCTCAAATCTAACATTTCCAAAATGTAGTTTTTTTCAGATGCCTTCACTTTTCAGATTTGGGATATCTCACAGAACTATGTTCCTGGAATAATTGGTTATATCAATTATTGAATTAATTTTACCTGCCAGAGAGGGTCTTTCTGATCAGGAAACAGCTCAAAATACTTGTGGGCCAGTTGTACTGGAGGCAGGGTCTGAAGTCGCAGGTTGGTCCAGCTCTTCACAAAATTGGCCAGATTAACAAATGTATATAATCCCAGTCGGTCATTCCCATAGTTGGACAAATGTGTCATGAAAATGCTGATCTGAAAAAAGCAAATGAACTTCAGTGTAAATACCATTTACTTTACACTAGAGGGCAGAATAATCACAGTGATGCAAGTTTTTTTTCTTAAGTAGTTGGCATAGGGTTTCAATTCATGGTGTGTTTTTGGATTTGCGACATATCCCCAAAACCCTAATTATATTAACACGTACTGGAGGATGTGTTATCAGCAGGACTTGAGGATTTTTTTCCCTGAAATTTTCATATATTTCATAACAAAAAATACATTCAATATCAGTAGCTGCATATACCCATGTTGGTACAAGACTGATGCTGAATAAAATAACCTATATGTTTCTCATGCCATTTTTCATATTCTTTAGTTCCATTATTCCCAATATAAAACACCTCCTTTAAGAAAAATATTTAATGGTTGGCTAGATAAAACTGACACTTCCTATGGAAGCAGCTGACCTACATTGAATCCATGCATTGAAAAAAAAAATCACAGCAAGTGTGGAAAAATAAATTTGAACTCTGTAGGTTAGATTGTGTTGGTCTGGGATGTAGATGTAGAATGGGTATTTTTAAAGCCACTGCTTTAAGTGAATACAAATAATTTTTGTTGGTTAGTGTTGGCAAATGAATTCTTCTGTATGAGGTTTTTAATGATAAAACCATTGTGGCATTTATGCTGCTATAAAAAAGATCATAAAATAATTTATGTGATGATAATACTTTCCTAAAATATATAATGTCATGTGAAAGTAGTAACGGTTTATTATAGTCATAATAATGAATTTAACAGGTCATTCATTAAGAGGCTGAAAGAAATATTCAAGAAAATTTACTGAGGTAATATGACAGAGATGAGAGAAAAAGTTATATTAAGATTTAATACAATAAATAAAAATGTAATTAACAACTATGAATAAGTGGAAATAGTAATATTATATGCTATGGAACAAATCCTGCAGGCTTTTACATTAAAGCCTTCATGTGATGAAGAATATTTGTATTTCTATTCCCTCTGCCTGAATGTATATTAAATCTTTGAATTTTTGCAAGCAAAATAACTATCTGTACCAGCGGACCAATGCAGTCACAGAATTGGGAAGTAAGACTTTTACTGATTTGGGTCTTTCTAAAAAATGAGACTTAAAATTAAAACTTCTGGTTATTTTTTAATAGTACCTTCACTTCTGTGACTTAAATTTCCTCTTTTTCTCCTGTAAAATTTATCAGAACATTAGGTGATTGAGAAACTTATGAAAATCATTCTTAAATTTGGAAGTTTTTTTCTAACATTTGTTGGAGGTAGTCTTTGCTGATTTGTTTTACATGCCACATTTTTCAATGTAGCTCAATAAGGTAGCAAAATAATACTTCTGGTCACCCTTTCTCCTAATTAAAAAGAAAAAGCAATTAAAAAGCATGTGTTTTTAACCTAGTTAGTAAGTTCAAATTTCTTGCTTTATTTTTATGAAAGATTTGTCAGTAAGTCTATATGTGTTACATTTTACTTGAATAATATCTGCATGGAACAGAAAATGGGAAACAGAGATGCTATATGACCCCGTGATACTAATACATTTGAAATCCCTCTGAATTCACTTTATTTTATTTTTGTTATTTATTTATTTATTGTTTTAGAGATGGGGTTTCTCCATGTTGGTCAGGACTCCTGACCTCAGGTGATCCGCCTGCCTTGGCCTCCCAAAGTGCTGGGATTGCAGGCCTGAGCCACTGTGCTTGGCTTGAATTCAGTTTTTAACCTAAGAAAACATTTTATTCTGACTATTAAAGCAGAGAGCCACTCTCTACCTGCATGACTGTAGAAAGTAAAAAAGTGCTACTCTTTCTGATAAAGACAGACACAACCCAAAATGAGTTATGAGCTTGTTAGGGACATTGCTTTTCATCAAACTGAACCTGATTTGCAAGAATTAAGGTGATACTTATAAGGTGTTGAACTTAGTCCTGTAAAAGAAAACCTACATAGCTTCAAAGCATGGAACTTTTCCCAGATGTTCAAGTTTGTTTTAATATTCCCACTTTAATACAATGCGAGGTGCACCATAAGCTAAAGGATGGTCTAGTAATGTCTTTGTAAGGCATGTCACCTTATGACCCTCTTAGACTCTGGACTCTCACCTAAGATTTGTTTTGTGCTCCTAAAGAAATGCAAAGCTTTAAGGGAGTATGGTTTGTCAGGATGCAATATATTTCAATTTCTTTTTGAACTTTTTTTCATGAATCACAGTATTTTTTTCTAGACGTGGAATATTGCCTATCTTTTGCTGTACATGTAACCTCTCTAAGTTTTCTTTGTTATTTTTTAATTAGGAAGGTATACACATTAAGCAACAGAATTGGCAAAAACAGATATAACAAGAATGTTTTGGTCAAAAAGTTAGCTTGCTTTCCAGACAGCATTTCTTCCTTACCTATGTACTGACCTGTGACATTTATAATGTCATTTCACCTCTTGGCAATTCCTCACCTGACAACAATTTCTGTACAGCATAGAAAGAAACAAAAGGCTGCTAGTTTAGGAGAAGTAGATATTATTCTTTTCCTAAAGATGATACTTTTACAATTTTAAGAGTACTTAAGGACTGTGGTTTTATTTGTTGTTGTTTTTTTTTTTTTTTTTTTAAAAAGATGAAATGGGTCAAAATAAATTATTTTTATTGCACTTGAAGATTCCAATGAGAAGAAAAGTGTCAATAGAAGTGACAATTGCATCTATAAAACTATTTTTGCCATAAACACACTATGAGTAATTAGTTGTCATTAAAAAGACTAATTAGCTGCTTAAAACTCAAATCATTGGAAACTCTGCTGAAGGCATAATGTTTATTTGATTAACAACTGAAAAAATTCTTTCTAGTCTGCAAGACACGGATGTGTATAGCAAGATGGTTATCTGTGAATTTTTTTTTCTGTAAAAGGGAAAAGGTAAATGTCAAATACCACACACGTTATGAGAAAGGAAACAGATACCATTTTTCAAAGTGTAACTAAGAGAAAAATGTAGGAAGCTTAACCCATATTTTCTAGCATCAATCCTGTGACTTTATTAAGCCCAGGTATGAGAGAATGCATGGATCACTACCAAGAACAAAAAGCAAAATATAGGTCCTAGTGCAAACACTGTTGAAAATACAGTAAATATTCTCTTTCTTTGGAGAAGGCTGGAAGAGGAGAGGAAGTATGGATGTAAAAGAAAGTATGTTATTTATTATAAACTATGCCTTTCATGACCATTCTCCTCAGTTTAAATCTACAAATATTTTTTCTGATTATTCTTCTATTTGCCAGATGCTTTGCTTCATTCTGAGGGTGCAAATATAAATATGCTGCTCATTCTTTTAAATTTTGTTCATGAAAAGAGTCAGAATTCAGAAGGTAGAAGAGAGATTACAGCAAACTTTTTTCCTCTGTCAACAAGTTTTGTTTTGCTTTAGTATCCTTCTGGGTGACCAAAGATTCAAAAGGTTTAGGATACAAACAAATCAACTGAGAACTTTTAAAGCATTCTGATTACCAGTCTTTATACTCAGAGATTCTGATTTTCTAGGTCTGGTGGAGGCCGTGGTACCTGCATTTTAATCATCCCTAATGGTCTTGATGCATTGTCATTGGAATGCAGTTTGAGAAAATCTGGCTAGACCCAGTCCTCCCAGAGAAATTTTTATTTTCCATAGAAATGTGTATTTTATTCCCATAGAAAAGATTCAGATCATCAAACACATTGGTTGCTTTGTAGTAGTCCTTTTTGAATGCATTTTAAAAGTTCATACATATGTGTCAATATCCTAGACTTAGAGTTGTCCATAGCATAAAAAAAAAAACTTGGTAAGTGCCCTTGGCCATGCCTTTCGAGGGTTTTTGTACTGCTGACACATGTGTGGTGATGTTCAGAAGATTGCTAAAAAGAGAAATGGTTTATACAGACATATGCATTTGGCTCCTGATTCTTTTCAATCCTATTTATTTCATTTTTTTAAAAAATTTTAAGTTCTGGGATGTAAGTCCAGAATGTACAGGTTTGTTATCTAGGTATACATGTGCCATGGTGGTTTGCTGCACTATCAACCTGTCATCTAAGTTTTAAGCCCCATATGCATTAGCCATTTGTCCTAATGTCCTCCCTCCCCTAGGCCCCATCCCCCAACTGGCCTCTCTGTGTGTTGTTCCCCTCCCTATGTCCATGTGTTCTCATTGTTCAACTCCCTCACATGACTGAGAACATGTGGTATTTGGTTTTCTGTTCCTGTATTAGTTTGCTGAAGATGATGGCTTCCAGCTTCATCCATGTCCTTGCAAAGTACATGATCTAATTCCTTTCTATGGCTATATAGTATTCCATGTTGTATATGTACCACCTTTTCTTTATCCAGCCTATCATTGATGGGAATTCGAGTTGGTTCCATGTCTTTGCTATTGTAAATAGTGCTGCAACATACATATGTGTGCATTTGTCTTTGTAGTAGAATGATTTATGTTCCTTTGGGATATATACCAGTAATGGGATTGCTGGGTCAAATTTCTAGTTCTAGATCCTTGAGGAATTGCCACACTGTCTTCCACAATGATTGAACTAATTAACATTCCTACCAACAGTGTATAGAGTTCCTGTTTTTCCACAGCCTCACTAGCATGAGATGGTATCTCAATGTGGTTTTGATTTGCATTTCTCTAATGATCAGTGATGTTGAGCTTTTTCTCATATATTTGTTGGCTGCATAAAAGTCTTCTTTTGAGAAGTGTCTGTTCATATCTTTTGCCCATTTTTTGGATGAAGTTGTTTGCTTTTTTCTTTTAAATTTGTTTAAGTTCCTTGAAGATTCTGGATATTAGACCTTTGTCACATGGGTAGACTGCAAAAATTTTCTCCCATTCTGTAGGTTGCCTGTTCACTCTGACGATAGTTTCTTTTCATGCACAGAAGCTCTTTAGCTTAATTATAATCACATTTGTCAATTTTGGCTTTTGTTGCAATTGCTTTTGGTGTTTTAGTCATGAAGTCTTTGC